GCCCCGAGACAAAAGAAATACATATCCTGTGGATTTCAGTGAGCCGCTGTCATCCTCTTGCTCTTCTCCCATCACCGTCTTCTGTTCTAGACGTCTCTGCTTTAATCCCTCATTTGTTTCGAGACGGGTGGAGGTGTGACAAGAGCAGGAGCGAGCGATCCCACACTAGCATACTCCGATTCAGAGGACACAAAAAAAAATCGAACTAGGCGTTTGCAGTGTTACAGAATGCAAATGGTTTAGCTCTAATCTGGCTCGTCCTGCCAATAAAATGTTCCCCTATGTTTTCCTGTCAGCGATGAGGGCTTGGCTCCGGTGCGTGCACATAAACTGGGGGTGAGAGGTGTACTTTTAAAATTCTGTTTACGCAGTCAAATCTATATTTAAAGTGCTTTTAATGAACAGATTCATCGCCAACGCATCAAGAAAAACAAAGCATGCAAATGGTAAGAGGCAAAAAAAAAAAAGGACATGTTTTTGCAGAAGTTGCCAAGAGCTTGTGTGTGTGTGTGTGTGTGTGTGTGTGTGTGTGTGCGTGTGCGTGCGTGTGTGTGTGTACACCTGTATTCGTGTAAACAGACACAAAAACAACGCCTGAACGGTTCCTCTCCTTTTGAGCCGTGAATGTTTTGACAGAAAACTTAAATTTAAATTTGCATTGCTTTTCTCTGCTCCTCTGATCCCGTTCAAGCTCGAGACTCCGTCCAATATTCTCGTCCCTCTGAAGCTGCAGACTGCAAGGCATCCATTTATTTATTGCTCTGCCAAACCGGCCTGGACTGCTCCTCTGATGTCAGTCCATATATAACCAACTTCCCTTCTGTGGCAGCGAGTCTTATTCACAAGCAACTATATTTTCTTATTTTAACACAAACCACAATCTTCTTCTGAACCTAACACGGTAGTTTTGTTTTCCTAAACACAATGCAGTACATAGTTCTATTTCACAACATTAAACGTGTGTTTAAACCACGCACAGGACTTTCACCCAGGAGACTGCTGTTTGTGTCCTGTGTGAAACACCATGAGTTCTTTCAACGTTTCTCTTTCTGCTATTCTGAGCATTAAAATAGCAGCAAACAACTATTCACGATGAAAAATGTAGTGGAGTAAAGTCTAACTGAGCGGAGAATGAACCTGATCTCACAGAAATGAAATGACCACAAACTCTTTACAGCTGATTGCATGGAACCACCATGGAAACATTCTACTGTTAGGTTGAGGCAACACAAGCACTGAGTTGGGGTTAGGAAAACCATCATGGTTGGGCTTAAAATAAGTATGGAAACTAAGTTAAATATGTAAACACAAAACGTACGTTACTTCACAATAACTTCACAATAACTTCACACCAACACTTTAGGACAGGAACACTGGTCGACTGAATGAAAGTCCTGTTTGTTTGCCCCCTTCTGCCCAACAAGTAGTCATTCTCACTGTTTATACTAAGTCACTCTGAGCGTGGCACACTCACGTGGCGTTTAGCGTTAGCACCATTTGTTGTGAGTCCCCGGCTCAGCCGTCACCATGTCGAGAGCCATGTGGAGGCAATAGATACACTCCGAATTTCGTATTTAGCACCTTTAAGTTACAGTTATTCAATGTTATGTAAGCAACTATGTTGGTAACATAACCACTTCACGTACGATGTCCCATAATTAACGTAGTACCTATATTTTGTAACAAATATACTTGTTTAAAAAAACCAACTATGATCCATTCCTGAACCTAACCAAGTAGTTTTGTTACACAACGTTAACCATGCGTTTAAAACTGTGACCGTTTCACAGCGTTCAACGGAACGGTCATTTATGTCGTTTTGTGAGCCATTAGCGAATGACCTATGCTGTTAATTTATGAGGACATATTGCTGATTCAACAGCATAAAAAGGAAGTTATACACACTTCGATGCTCAATACGAATGAGATGACTTTCTGTTTGGGGAGTCAATGCTGCATGAAAGTTACTGTAAATCTCAAATGAAAGCAGGGTTTTAAATGGCAAAGGCAGGGGTTGGAATCAGGTGTTATCTGTACTCTACATGGTAAATCCAGGTTCATGTAGATTTCCATAGTAACAATTCAATCAGTATAACAGCACTGATGGTAACCAATCTGTAATTTCACAGACGTGTGGTTTTCAGTCACTCATTATTTACAAATGCTTTTACTTTACTTTGGAGGGATTAATGTGTTCAACTAATGTGAGACTTCTGTGGAGGAAGGAGTGACTCAACAGCAAATGAAAAAACGTCAAAGTGTAAGATTGTGTGAAAGTGATGGGTTCATATTACTAGCAAATTAAAACTGGAGCATATCAGAAAATAGGGAATATGATCAAATAGAAAACAGAAGGAATTACAAACATATTTCCGTTTCAGATACAAGCCCGGTTCAAATACATGTTGGTTTCAAGTTGACACAAAGGATTCACAGTACCTAAAGAGAATCAGTGAAGGAGTAAAACGTAATCTGTGAGTTACGGCCTCAAAGTTTGCTACAATAGAACCTTTCCACACCTCATTTTGACACTTCACAGCAAGCAAAGCACAGGTTGGATTAATGAAAGAGTCTCTGGAAGAGCCATCACCGGTTACACCTGTGCTTTTCTTACTCAGTCAAAATGTCTGCTGTGAAGAAAAGGTCTATTTAATGAATAATTCACATTAACATTAATTGCTAAAGCCAGGAAATTAACTTATTTTACATTCTTGACAGATGGTGAGCATCAAGATATGTGCCACGGTATAGTGTGTGATTACCAGTTAGCTAGCATCTGTTACAAAATAATGTTTATCATCTACTTCATATTATTAAACTTGCCATCAACAATGGCTTTATGAAAGTCATAGACACATTTTACTTGCATTGTTTTTACTTAATAAATAATAATGTGCACAATAAAACCTTGATGGTTGCCTTGAGGCGGTTGCTATAGAACAGTGGACGCTATACTCTAGGAGCTTTGTTTCCATCACAGGCTACCTTTATATTATTTGAAGATTTGGCTTTATTCATTAGAGAGAATGTAGCTTTAAGGCACTTCCACAATGGCTTCACTCTTCAGAACCGGAGGTTGCCGCCTGGAGGCCACTTATGACCAGGATTCTTCTGGTGTCCAGACCTGGATCTTTGTGCCGAGGAGGCAGTGGTTAGTGTATACCTGCTGGGTTCCTGTTTGCTTGCATATTCTGGGCAACATAGTGGAAGCTTCTCTTTACGAAGCGCTGTATTTCTTTAACAGGTGGAATTGGTATTTCCTGGAGATGGTCACATCTTAATCCACTCCGACATCGATGTTGACCCTTAATGTTGACCCTTAATGTTTCCATTTTATGGCAGATTATAGAAGCTTACTTTCTATCTGCAACTTGTTCCCTTGCCCCCCTCACCCCCCCCGCGACCCTGTCACTAAGCAACAAGGACAATGCATGAGTCTTACGTGTTTATCGCAGACGCAGAGTGATACTAAAAGTCCAAAGGAATTAGAGAGTGGTATGTTGTGTAACCAATCAGATTGCTCTCCGTTATATAAACCCTCTTATAGTATCATGACATATGGATGCAAACATTAATATGAACATGAATAAGGATGTCTTCCATCCATCGATCATCTGAACCGCTTATCCTTTTCAGTATCGCGGGGGCAGGTCGCCTATCACAGGACTAACATACAGACGCACCTCGAGCTGCAGGTCTTTGGACTGTGGGAGGAAGCCGGAGAACCCCAGAGAGAACCCATGCTGACAGGGGGAGAACATGCCCACAGAAGGACTGCCCAGTCAGGACCCTGGGGTCGAACCCGGGTGCCTCTTGCTGTGATGTGACAGTGCTAGCCGAGGACGGACAATATTCAAATATTGTCGAGTTACATTTTACCCCCATATGGCTATGTGCACAACATTCTACGTCCTCTCCCTTTGAGCCTTGACGCTCTAGGAGCGACTAGCAGCAGTCAGGGCACTGATCCTTTGATTTGAGGGAGTGATGCGCGTATATAAATATAAATAGCTGCGAATCTGCTGCGCCGGGCGGAGGACGTTCCCGGTGCCTCTCCAAATAAAATGCTGCCTAGCTTGCCGGCGAGCATCTCACTCTCCTGATGAAGGCTTCACGTGTCCCCCGAGTTAACCGAGTTCATATTGAAACACTTCCCGGAGCGCCGCCATCAATCAAAAGCCTGCAGAGTGATTTTGTGTAAACCCCCCACCCCCTCACTCCTGCTAACGTGTGCCTCTGTGCCACGAATAATCGCAATATCCGGGGCCCACCTCATTTGCTCCCATTATGGTTTCTCAGGGGCCGTCACTAACTTTCCCTTCCTGACGCCCCAGGGCAGCAGGTTCAACGCCGAGGAAGCTGCTTAACTGACACACACACACACACACACACACACACACACACCAGATATTTCTAAAGAGAAGCGTGCGGACACATGGAGGCGTACGACTCTGCCCGGTAATTGGACACATTGTCGGTATGAATTCAGTTTTGCTGGGAGTCAAAGCAGATCCGCAGCGGACAGAATTTGGCCAAAGCACTGGGAGCGAATGAGAGGGTAACCAAAAAAAAGAAAAAAAGGAGAGAAGCATTTTCACTTCCATTAGCCAGACTGTTACTTTGGGCTTAAACACAGAGAGCCCCCCCCTTCTTACCAACACTAGAAAAAACTCTCTGTTTTTCTCTCCCTGCTCTTTAACTCCTCTTTCATACCACTTCTCTCATATGCCTCTCCATCCTCATCCTCTGTTTCATCTCAGGTCTATCTTCCTCCGCCTTCTCCTTCCATCCTCTCATTCCTCCTCCTCCACCACTCTCTCTCTCTCTCTCTCTCTCTCCATCTCCTCAGCGCGCATCATCACAGCGCGCTCCTCCTTTCTTCTCTCCCTCTACCTCCTTCTCTGCGGTTTTCAGCCAATCACTGCCGGGGGGGGGCGTGGCTTCACACCGGGAGGCTGTACGGAGTTGGTTGAGGAGATGCGAGAGGAGAGAGAGGGAGACTAGCGGAGAGCGCTGGTGGAGAGAGACGCTTCCCTGAGCTACTTGGAGAAACAAAACGCCGGGCTTGACACTGAGTGATGACCGTGGCGCGGAGAGACCCAGCAGACCGGGAATAAAAACGCGGAATAAAAACACACACATAGGGAGGGGACAGAGAGGAGGAGGCGCAGGGTGCCAGTTTGTGGATACCTGCGCGCATCCGTTCCTGCCGCAGGTGAGCTAGAATCCCTCTGAAGGGAGAGTTGTTTTCTGTTTTTTGGGTGTCCTGTGAAGGAAGTGAGAGAACAGCATATCTTCCTGGGATTTATTCCTCCGGTTCTCGTCTGCTTTTTTTTCAGTCACCCTCAAAGCAAACACTTCTCGGGTTTTGCCACATTCCAACCCCAGGTTTGACTCAGCATCTTAATTCGGAGCTTCGTCAGACCGTGGACTTGGTTCTGAAGGCGGGATTACGCAGAGCAGCGTCTCCGGTCAGAGAGGAGAACATTCCTCCAAACTCGGAACTCGTGCCTCGCGACGCGAAACGGAGTCTTCCCATTCCCATCTGTGTGCTGATGAAGAGGACAATGTCTGGATTATTACTGTCCAACCGGCCCCGGGGAAGAGGGGGAGAGTGAGGGAAGCCGAGATAGAGAGAGAGAGGAGGGTGGAGAGGTGAAGAGAAGAAGGAGGGAAGTCGGTGGCGCTTGGCTGTCGTCCACTTGTTCGTTAGCGCCCTTTTTTGCCATTCGCTCTCCACCTCTTTTAGTTTTTATCGTACTGGATACACGGACACACACCAGGAGACGCACGGGGAGGACCTGCGTTCGCACCCTGGGTGAGTTTGCGTGTCCCACGCGGGAGGGGAATTCAATATAAAAAAGGGTACAAAGAGTGCGGTGCTGTGCGTTTTTTGTGTGCCTAGCGCGCACTTTTTGTATTTACGCGCAGCCAGCCTTCACTGCCGGGTCGGTGCGCACATATGCGGGGCTCTTACGGTTAGTTGCGGTGTGGCGGCGCTCAAAAAGTCGTGACGCATGATCGATGAGCTGAGGGGGGGTCGCGAGAGAGGGAGAGCTGACGATATGGATTAATGGGAATCGGGTTGGCCCGTTTCCTCGTCAAAGCCTTCCCGTCAATATTTGTTGTGCAAAGAGGGTGCACGTGCAAATACATATCGGGGGTCACACGTGGGTCTTACACGTCAGCATAATTTCACACAGGTTTTTTTTTGTACATTTTATACATTTAAGTTTGTTTTTTTAAGTAGCAGTGAGATGCTGGATTGTGTGTGTGTGCTAAATTATTGTGTCTTGACATACGTAACTTTGCAACATGTTGCGTTTTCCCTCTACCGTGAGTGTGTGTGTGTGTGTGTGTGTGTGCAAAACCACAATCTACTCCTGCTCCCATCATTGTATAACAGAAACGAGCTGAATCTGACTTTTCCTTCAACCTGCGCTTTGCTTCATCTCACCAACGTGCGTGTGTGTGTGTGTGTGTGCGTGCGTGTGTGCTCCTGCGTCTCTCCTCACCAATGGATATTTTCCTGCCGCCTGCCTCTCTCTCCTCTTGGTGTGTCTCTCTTCGACTGTGTGTGTGTGTGTGTGTGTGTGTGTGTGTGTGTGTGTGTGTGTGTGATGTTGTTGCTCCATCAGTCACCCAGAATGCCGGCTACGCACGGCACAATTTCTCACAAATTCACTGAACCATGTAAGCACAACATTTACCTGTCAGCTACTTTGTCGAGAGACTACTGTATGTGGCCCGGAAGAAATCCTGTGAGAGGAGGAGCTGCTGCCTTTAGATTTACACTTAACACCCCCACCAGAGACCCGGAGTGGGAGAGAGGTCCTGTCAAACAAATCATGGTGGAGGAAGGAGAAGAGGAACAATGAGTGGAAACCCAACTCAAATCCTTAGATCCACTCATATGCGCCTGGAGGGTATGATAACACTTTACTATGGCCCCCAGATTATTATGGCACATAATGGAAACATGAAAAAAGGTGCTATGTTCCCCAGTTTTACATTTGTGCTTTCCCAGAGTCCTGTGTTCCGACAACTTGTTATCACTCCATACTCATCATTTACAGACGCTTGGTCTGGACCCCAGGCCGGCACTTTTTAACGCACAGGGTAGTTTAAGTTGAAATAAGTACGTCAGGAATGAGAACGGGCTGGTTCCTAAGCTCTACAGTACGTAATAGGAACCTGATAAAGATGTACCCCAGCTCTATTCGCTTAATGTGACGTGGGCTGTTCAGGGAACTAACTACAGGGACCATAGCATGGTGTCGAACATGAGGCCCTGAGGAAATGATTCTGTGACAACATACCTTTTTAAAAGTTGACTTAATGTGTGTGAAGAGAATATTAAACTGGGCAACATAGGACCCAGGTAACAGGACCACAGAACATTAAGAACATAGGACTCTTGGATCATAGCGCCATGGGAACATAGGACAATTGGGACATCAGACGTTGGGAACATAGGACTCTGGGAACAAAAGAACCCTGATAACATAGGACCCTGTGAAAGTAGATACGCTGTCCTCTGTACACCTTGGGAGTTTCCATGAAATATTGTAGCACTAAGGGCGTTTCAATGAAAGGCTGAGTACATGACACACAGAGTTCTAATGACACATTTTAGGGTAAATGGCAGTGTACATCTGTGCTCACATCGTGACAGGAGAAAGGGAATATTTCATGCCCGAACCAGTGAGTGTTTGGTGTTGATGATGTCCATTATAGGATGGATTTTGACAACAGTCAAATTTGGATATTTGACTGAAAATAAAAAATGGCCTCCCCTGTGAAGTACATATGAGTGAGATTAGGGCTGAGCGATATGGCTGAAATCAATATCAGGATATTAAAAGGGTACACCAGTGATTTAGTATTACACTTCCATAGTTAGGATGAGAAACAGTTTAAAAAAAGAGTGGTAAAAATCAATGCAGCAAAGGCCAAGATATCCTTTCTTTTCCTTTTCCCTTCAAACTCCAAAAAAGATTCAATGTAATGTAACCAATATCCTCTCCGTGTTTGATCCTCTCTGTCTGGCCCAGGCTTTCTGTTGAAAACACGTAGTCTACTCTACAAACCTAAAACGAGATAATCCCGCTTCCATGCAAGACGTGCCCTTTTACTCAGAACATCGTATCGTATGGAACATTTGATACATTTGAAATAATTGTTAAATGCATTGAAGATTTGTCCACTGATATGGAATACATACAACAACACTATTCACACATTTAGAACAAAACTAAAATATTCAATAAAAAAAAATGTGTGTGTACAATACATGAGATATATATCTTATTTATCTGTGTCACAGAGCTCCATTGTTGTCCCAAAATCTCCTTAATGAGCCACACTGTTTGCACCGGGTGACATGCTCCTTCATTAGCATGAACACACATGCAAACACACTTTAGTTTCTTCTGACTCGATCCCACATACACCTGCGTGCTGCCCCAAATACTCACTAGAGCACCACATATGTATTCATCCACCGTTTAAAATAGTCCCCTACAAATGCTCTATTTCCTCCTGTTCTGGTAGCGTTTACATTCACATACGCAATGAACGTTTTAATACTAGCTGGGAACAGAAGTTACAAAAAGAGGTGTTTATAGAGGTGGTTTTTTTTAAGTCCTATTTGAAACTTTTCAGATTTATTTCCTCTCCAAATAGTCACACACATAAGAATGCCTCTTTTTATAATCCTCACATCTTCTCAGCCTCTCAATACAAACGCATCACAGTGCACTTCCATCACGCCTGGCATGTTTATTAGATTATCGCCCATCCCTACACGAGACCGCAGACAGCATTAGACAACACTGAGTAGGAGCGAAGATGAGTTCTAATGTAGCTTTTGTTGCAGCTTGTTGTCGTGGTTCAGACACATAAAGCTGTCAGTTTCTAGGATGATATCCGCAGTAGGAGGAATAAAACCCATAATTCACCGCTTATGTTTACACATTCTCTCAAGCGCAGGAACATCTCGGCAAAGGAGTGAAATCAGATGAAAATTCAAAGCACTTTTCATTTTGCTCAGGGCCCTGTGGAATTCCAAGTAAAGGCCCTGGCTGGTCCCCAGTCTGAACTTTTAGAACCATTAATATAAATGTGCATGTACATTCCTCTGTATGAAAATGACTTTATATGCTAGTATCCCTCAGCTGAAGTAGATGGGCCTCAACAGACGCATTTCATAGCTAACAACTCCAGAAAGGACCTCTTAAAGATGTCAGTTTCATTATTCTCAGTGATGTTGTATCATTTTGCAGATATTTCTGCCGCTTTCACTTAAAAAAGTGTTTTCAAAGCAAGGCAGCATCTGTGTTTTCATGAAGCCTTTTTTTTTATCCTCTTCCCAAGAGCGTGGCTTCAGGTTTAATGACTTCCCCAAAATGAAAAAGAAAGGTGGCTTAATCTCTACCGGAGTCTACTGGAAGCAGCTGTAGCTTCTGAAATATTCTGCCATCTCAGTAATACATTCACATGGCGATCAATTGCAAAGTACCAGTGAAAGCACACTCAGTGACAGAAAAGAGTCTATCCCTGCTTCAGTGTTGTCCTTTTCTAAAAAAGAGAAATCCCTTCGACCTCTCTTATTTCTCCCACTTATTTTCCCCTCACATTCTCTCACAACAGCGTCGTCCAATGTCTGCATCTTCAGGGCGCTCCGTCTCCCGACCTTTGTCCCGCTTCTCACAGCGCCGAGGTCGGAGCGGAAGCCACCGTTGCTCTTCAATGTGAGTGACTCCGTGTATATAAATGTAAATGCGTGCTCTTTAGAGATTGACTAGTGCTATACAATATGGCTGTGCCCTTCACACTGCAAGGACATGGGGAGATATTGAAAATGCAGCCTTTTCAGCGATTGATACATAATAGAGGGGCTTTCAGATTGGCCAGCGGTCTCATCCCTCAGCATGCAGGCTGTGCTTTTCAAGATAAGCTGTGTACAGGCTTTTAAAGTTCAAGTCAGGCTGTGGAACCATCGCAGCATAATTGAAGTTCTTCACAAATGTGCTCTGTCTATGGTGTGTGTAGGAGGCTATGCAATCCATCTGTCAGCCTGCAGTGGTTAACAATGGGTTTTATTTTTTGAGAGAACATCCATCTCATCAGTGACTGTGGAGCCGCAGTAGTCAAGCAGAGGTCAATCTATGGCTGAAAACTAATTGACAGTTTTCATAATTCTTTAAATAAATTGCTCGACATGTTTGAGGAATACAGTCGTTTTGCTTTCTCGCCGAGATTGAAATAACAATAGCGCTCTCATGTTTGTGCGCTAAAGATGATGCTAACACTGGTTAGCTTTGCTAGACAAGACAAGGACAAGAAACCACAAAAAAGATTCGCCAGGCTAGTTGTTTTTCTCTTGTTTCCAGTGTTTGTGCTAAGCTAAGTTAACCATCTGCTGTCTGTAGCCCTTTATATTTAACGCACACAGTGCGACAGTGGGATCATCTCACTCTTGGTAAGGACGCATTTTCCAAAATGTCCAACTACTCCTTTGATCTACTAAGTCATTTATTAAGGACAAATTCACATTTTGGAGCTCAAAATGAGGATTAGCCATCTCTCCTTTTATAACTGTGTGATTGAATCTCTGGTATTTATTCATCCATTAATTTAGTAATTTATTCATTAACCAGGAACAGTGCACATTAATCAACATCTCAGTTTCCACCTCAACATAAATGTGCCAGAGTTAGCTAATGAGCTCATTTTCAGCTGTGGTCAACAAATTAGTGGCCTTATGCTATCAGTGCGATGCTTCAGCAGGCACTACAGTACAGCGCAATACCATAC